GGGTGGGTTGGGGTAGGTAGTTGTGGAAAGATGGGATGGAATTAAAGGGAGAAACGTATTTATATAAAAAATTAAAAAAAAAACAATATGATTAGCATTATTAATCTTTCCTATACACCTTTTTTCATCTCATCTCCTTCAGTAGTCACGGCAACACAATGATGATGATAATAATAATAATAATAGTGTTATTATTAACGGTATTTTTGTCACCTCTATTATATTTTGTTCCTATTCTTATCCCTCTTTTATGCCTAACTTACCAAAAAAAACTTAATGTCTCAGCACTAGTGTTTATTTACACACACACCCCTTTTTAGTATAATAAGTGCTTACAAAGAATGACTGATTTTATTCAGTAGTAGTTGGTGTTGTTGTTGTAGCAGGAGTAGGAGTATTATATAGTAGCAGTAGTGAAAATGTTCCAGTATCCACGATAATGGTAGATGGAATGTCAATACTAATGATCGAATTGACTAATTTATTGAATTCTTAAATTGTTTCGACACACACACAAGCCTTCATTAACTTAGTTATAACGAATACTGAATAGAGATATAAAGAAAATTTTGAATACATATATGAATTAAGCACCATAAGACAGTCACTAATACAAATTATTCTTTCTCTGTCAGTAAGGCGGCTTAAATGAAGCTGTATAATGTTGTCATGACTGTGAAAGTTCATCATAGTGATCCAAAGTTCTTCGTGTTTGAGAGTTTGAACAAATTAGTACAGCTTCAAGTTTGACTGTGAACTAACTTCAGTAAGAGGACCACTAGAAAGCAGAGAGTTTTGGACAGTCGTTTTGTCCAATTTTGGGACTCTTCATCGTACGCACCAATCAGCAAACCAGTGATAAAATTCAAAACTCTCAGGTTACAAGGCGAGCTCATTGACCAACCAGTAGTTGAGATGGAATTCAACGATCTATCAGTTCCAACTTCCAACAACTCGCTATATATAGCGCGATCACCAATCGATATCACTTATTATTATTATTGTTCCCTTGGGTTCCTAGTGGAACATAGGGCTTCAAGCTAGAGACTTGAAGTTTCTTTAGCAGTGTTTATTTTACAGGATGGGGTTGCTAGCCTCATGCTCAACCTTTCCTCTTTACCAGCATTATTTCTGGCTCAACGAGGTAAAGGAGTGCGTCGGCCGGGGATCGAACCTCGGACCATGTGCCTCCTAACCGCTATACCACCGACGCACCACTTTTCACCTGCATCCATGTTATTCCATTCTGTTTCAACTCCTCTTCACGATCTTCACCGATATCACTGGTGAATATTTATCCCTACACCCAACTTGATGGTCATGACTTGAACTCAATCAAATCCTTGTAAAACAGCACTTGAAAATTTAGTGCGAAATTGACTAATTTCTTTTAATTCAGTGATTTCTATATGTCACCGAAATAAGTTGCTTTTTTACCTGTTACACTGAAAACATATTTAATATACTTAAATAAACCCTAGAGGATTTCAGCTGTATTGATTATCATCCACTAAAGGAATGATTTTGTCCAATTTAATAAGTAACACTACTTAAGACTATTATAGTAGTAGTGTATCATACCAGTCAAAATGGAATCTGTCATGTATTTTGTATTCACTTAAGTGGATAAGATACTCTTTTTCACAAATAATAAGTTCATGAGTAGAATTTTCGGTTGCTTTGCACTTTCTTTAGCAGTAATTACTCAGAGACTGACGACACATTCCTTGTTAGGACTAGACTACTTGGAACAGACGTTCATGAACCAGATATCGAGCCACAAATATTGTGTAAGGGTAGACGATACTACCCATTTTCTAGGTTGAAGTAGGTGTTACAGGATTCGGAATCATGACCTATTGACTAAAAGTCAAGCGCTTAAACTTATTCGTCATATTTCTACAACAGTATATTTGTATATGTACCTAATAACAACTCACATAACTCAATGGAGTTAAGTCAATCGATGGATGCACGTGTGAATCAATCTAGTCACTGTTCAGCTATAAAAAACAATTTATAATTCCGTGACAAAGAAAAGTTTCCACTGAATTCGGCATATGTGTAATCAATCATTTAACCTTACTACTAAATTCTGAAATAGAGACATTATTGAAGAATGTGAATAAAACCAGGAAAAACACTTAGTATAATACGAATGTCAAACAACAGTCAGATGACTTAAGCTTAATGAATTAATCACAGTTCCACTTCATCTACAGATGAATATCACTACATACTTTAAAACCACTTGTCTACTGATAAAAAAATAACCGTATTTGGATAACTCGTGTCTCAATTCGTTATAGTTATGCAATAAAAATAACATGTACCAAATGGAACACACTTAACTTGAAAGCGAAATTAACTTTTGAAAAGGAAGATATAACTCCGTTGTTTACTTATTTATGCTGACATTATTATGGTAAAAGAATTCAATGTTAAGAAATAGATTCGGTTCTTTTTCCATCAGTGTTATGTTAAGCAGACTAATGCATGTCAATGACATTTTTATTTACACAAATACGAATAACGGTTCAAGTGAAACTACTTCTGGTAATAAGCACGTAAACATCATTTGAAAAAAAAATTTAGAAAGTATCCCCTCATTGAGTAAATAATGTTAAATTATCTTCAACTGAATAGATTCGAAATCTCGAGTGAAAAGGAAGAACAGTTACATCATATTTGTTTACTCACTTAGCCGAGTTTATAAATGAAGTTTAATTCATAGCAAATAGATCTTTATCAGTTTACGCGCATATTCTCTTCATTTCCTCAGTTCGAGACTTTTACATTTTTATTGTGAACTCAGAATTTATTAGTCAAGCTGATTTCGCCAGTGACCAAGTGAATTTATTATTTCCTTCAAAGACATTTAGGATGGCATGGACCGATGATGACAGGTCCCAGTAGTTCAGTTGGTTTTTTCGGGGACTTGTGAACGCGAAGAAAACCACCTCTAGAGAAAATATTTTTCCAAAATGATCTTGTTTTGTGATTCAGTTCAGTTTCATCACGAAGCGGAAATTGTACGAAATTAGAGTACTGAATGGTTGTTTAGAAAATCTCAATATGTGGGACTTCATATGAAATTACAACCACAAGTTTCATATTTCTCAGTCAGTAGTTTAACACTTAACAGCGATTCGAATAACATACTCACATCTTACAATTTGATACTGTATATATAAAAATGGCGTCGGTGGCATAGTGGTTAGGACGCTCGCCGACCATGCACATGGCCCAAGGTTCGATCCCCGGCCGACGCACTCCCTTACCTCGCTAAGCCAGAAATGAGGCTAGCAACCCCATCCTGTAAAATAAGCACTGCTACAGAAACTCCAAGCCACTAGCTTGAAGCCCTATGTTCCACTGTGGAACGTGAAGGAAATATATATATATAAATGACTCTAACTTGTTTTAATTTTCATAAGCCTATAGGTTTTAATGTTCCCAGAGTTAAATACTTCCTTACATAATGAAGTAAATTTATGGATGCCCACTGACTTCATAGAAAAATATGGACTGAAGAGATCGGACATGTTATAAAACTACCAGAGAATATCAACTGAACAAGAATTAAGGTATAATTAAATCAGTGTGTTTGAATTACTTAGCCAGAGTTCGCAAGAGATCTCAATCTCTGACCTTGTAATTCCATGACAAACAAGTAATTATTGAAATCAAACTTTCTTCATTTAAACACTTAATTAACCGTCTCAATTTTTTCCACTTTCATCCATTAGTTATCGTTATTTTCAAAGTTATGGTTAATATTCAAATATTCAAATTTTGTGAATTCATTTAACTTCAGGGTAAGTTTCATCACTAACCAATCTCGATCAAGGAATTATTGATTACCAGGAAGCACGGAAGAGATGTCCCAACCTACACTGAGTCTCACCAGCAGGGCGTATTCATAACCTTATTAGGGATTGGACCCAAGAGTTTCAGATCAAGACAGAGCTGGTTAGCACTCAGCTGCTAGGTGGGAATTTAGTGGTTCGTCATTTTTAACTTCTATTAATTCGTAATAAACTGATAATGCCAGTTTTTGATGGAAAACGTGTAATGGTAGAGAGGATTTTACTGGTACAAATTTTTTTTTCTCATATGTGATTTCGTTTATCTAAACAATGAAATGTTGGACATTTTACTTCTGTTGCTTAGGATACCACGTCAGTTGCAAATTACACAGTTCACCTAGGCAGCTAGGCAGAACTCTGTGTACTAAAGCTGTACAGTTACACTGTTGATGAGCTTAGCAACAAACGAGTAAAACGATGCTTAGGTCGTTTACATCTGACTAGTGCTCACAACTATTCGACGTCAGTGGTTTCCAACTATCCATATTAGATAGAAGTATAGCCTCCATTCTGACTGACTTAGTATCTCTCTGATCTAATGTGTCAGTAGTAATTGACGGATCGCCATATGAAACAAGAAATCATTCAGGGTGGATAACGTGATCACTACGTTAAGCAATACAATATTGCTTCTATCTGGGACATCCTCTGTTCTGTATCAATAACCCTATGGTCGTGAATGGAGTGCCGAGAAATTGCATCGCACTAATCAAGGCAATCTACTCAAAATCACGAAGCTGTGTAAGAGCTTATAGAGAGTTGTCATCTGAAGTGGTAAAAACCAGTGGTGTCCGTCAGGGATGCCCACTGTCCTCACTTCTGTTTAATTTCATCATAGATGTACACACTAATGGACTTAACCCTAACTGACTTCAGCGACTCAGGGATTGACAGGTTACCATCAGGGAATAATCTCGTTTACCTAGAATATGCATATGATATAGTCCTTCTAGTTGAAGATACCTGGATGACTGGAAAACACTAATAATCGAAAAGTAGTTGGAATTCGATGACTCCGGCATACACGCTGAGGAGTTAAAAATTTTTTCTAACAATCAGAAAGTTTCTGTGACATAACTGTTTAGGAAAAAGTATATATTAACTCATAGATTGGATTCTGTGTTGATGTTTCTTTGATAAAATGGAGTAAACTATTTCCAACATGACAGTGATAATAATAATAGTAAAAGTGTACAGATTAAAGTTTATACAAAATGATATGATTTAAACCCATTAACACAATGAATTTTGTTTACTTATGATTGAATAAGCTGAAACAGGTAACCAATTTTCATCAAAATGTCTTCGTGATGACCTATCCCGAGCTTGTTTTCTTTCTGTCATAGTTCTAGAAAACTAGAAGAACGTCATCTATGATCTTAAGTCAATAATTCACTGTATCTAGACGTAGAATGGTTAAATTACACAGATACAAGATATAAGGAAGTTAATTAGTATAAAGACAAAAAATTAGGAAATTAGATAAACAAACTGCTCAGTTCTCAAAGGTTTCTAATGTGCATTTTTGATTTGATTTATGTGTCCTAAAACAGAATGTAATAAATTATGTGATGAATGTAAGATTGACTGATTTGCGGGTAAATGATGTGTCTCCAATCTGTTTTCGGTATTTAAATTGCTACTAATTTGTTTAAATGAGCTCCATTCACATTTTGGATAAGCACGTTTTGCCTTAAGCCTGCCACTGGGATTATGGGATAAATCATTAATTAGTTGTTTATTATCAGAAAGGTTATTTGACCTTAGTAAATTATGCTGACTTTGACAGTCAGCTGTAAAATTGAAATCTTTATTATCCATTGAAGATTGATTATGTTGTATAGCGAAGGCTTTAATGCTTATTTGGTTTGGTGAGTCGGTTTTTGAATGTTTCGCCAATGTTTCATGGTCATATTCCACTCTGAGTTGATTATGATTGCATGACAAGTCCTCGAAACTGTCTTCTCCCTCCTCTTGTTCGATATCTCCTTCATTTTCATCTTCTTCATTATCATGATCATCAATATCATCATCCTCACCATCAGAAGCTGATCTTCTCTCCTTAGAACTTGAGTTGCTCATAGCGTCTTTACCGTCAGTATGTAAACGTTTATATTTTGTTCGCCGATTTTGAAACCATACTTTTACCTGTTCAGGTGAAAAGAATAAAATTATTTTAGTCTAATTGATTCGTTTCTGTAATAAATTTTTGTAAGTATAATGTTGATATCAACCTCGAAAACAGCTCATCCGGTTCATCAACATGACAGTAATACTTCTCGTAATCAATGTTAATACAGAAAATATTTCCTTGAAATACTAAGCAAAAGACTTCCATGTATATATCAAATCAAATTAATTCCTAACCCCTAACTGTAAGTTCCGAATGCCTGTTTCATTTCTTGTCTGTTGTTCTTTTCATGGTGACTGATTAAGGAACCTCATATGTATACCTTGTCCTTCTTAGAGCATGGAAACTACATCTAAGTGGATGATAACGCTTGTACCGAGACACACAAGCAAGCCCGGCACCTATTACTTAACGCACCAGAGCGTTACAAGGAGGACTTAATGAAATTATAAATTGGAATAAAAAACACTTTAAATTCGCGAAATTTATCTTTAGATTATTGATAACGACATTCAACTGTTGAATGTCAAGTAAAACACACTGTACAGTTATTGAAAAGAAATTGCTACTTACTCCCCACGGCATGACGAAACAAATTCTCCACTACCGTAGACTTTATTGTTATCCAGTGGGTCGATTCATCATCCCACATATAAATCACAGACATGATAGCCTCACTAGTGAAAACATCTTCATTCCGTTATTTAGTCAGTGGTTTAAACAGCCATGTTTTCATACATTTATGAATATATCGAATCGCTAATAAGTAAGATTTGTGCAGTATATGCTGTTACCATCATAACTAACTGACAGAGGAAGCCGTGACAACCCTTGAACATAACAATAATTATTACTTTTTCTGTTGAAACAAAGTATATAGGATTCTGAACTGTGCAACCAGTCGAAAACTTCTCAGAACTCCTAGCCGATCACAACTAAATTATCAAGCTTTAATGCTTTCAATCATCACACAATCCATTTTGTTGAGCAAATGGTATTTTGTGGTCTGAATAATTTTGCTTTCCAAAGGAAACCAAGATGAAATTTCATCAGTATCTGCATACTATACAGACAAATGATTTGGAATTTCAAAACTTCAGTGGATCTATTCGTCACAAGGTTATCCTTATCCAAGAATTACTTAAGTCTCAGATTTGATCACAGGTTGGTGTCAGTTAGAGAACCACCGAAGACAAGAGAACACTGAATAGCTGCTCCGCCCTAGTTTTGGTCTCTTCAGTAGTGCTCACCCAACGGGATTCAAACCCAGGATTTTCCGGTAAAAAAAAAAGCTCGTAGACCATTCAGCCACTGGGATCCAAACACAGTGTCTCATGAATGCCAACATCTACCTATTCGTGATTTTAGCTCAGCGAATTTCCTCTTTGAGTAGATGTGCTCACACCCAACCTGATGGACCCCACTGGTCAGAACTTCTAATCAGAATTCCAGGCAACTTCGTCCTGTAGTCAGATGATGGTAGCGATAAAATCGCAAACTAGTAGAAGCTAGAATTCATAGGCCACTGGATCGGGGTCTCAGTGGTAGAATGGTCTACGTCCTGGTTTCGAACCCCAATGGGTGCGTACTACTGAAGAGACCTAATCTGGGGCGAAACAGCTGTCCAGTACTCTCTGGTTTTCAATGGTTCTCCAACTGACATCAATCTGTGATCAAACTTACAACAAGTGAAATCCCAACAAACTAATTCTTAAATATTCCTTAATTCCACTAACGTGAACAAGTCTAGAAGATCATAAGCCCCACTGCACATGCAAAAATCACTTATAGATGAAAAGATTATTAGCTTCTCTAGTTTATATGATCATTTCTCTGAATATCTAAAATTATTCTGTTATGGTTAAAAGTCAGTTTCAAAATTTATAAACTCTTGTCTCAATTCAATGTTAAACAAAAACTAAAATTAAAAATTCTCTTACCCCTTTCATACATTTTATTTATGCATGCCATCTATGCTTTTTATTTAAAAATATAGTACATTATTATAATAAGTAACCATTAATATTTTTTTTCTTAAAAGAATATTTTCCTTTTGGTTTTACGTATTTTTGGCTTGTTAAATAAAGATAAAACTTAGAAATGACCAAACCACTGACAGTAAAACAAAATTCTTTTAAACATTCCCCTCTCTTTCTCGCTGTCCTTCTTCGTCATAACTGTTCATCTGTTTTTGTGTTAATAAATCATAAATAAATGTGAAATTAATATCAGTTAGTCCATACATATAAATATATATGTTCATTTCGATAATATGTACACTTTATATATCGTGTTTCGTACCTATCAACTCTCATCAGCATAATCACCACCACCAACCTCTACTTTGCATTCCGAACTGATTAACATTTACCCACTTTGTGTGTATATATACATATTTGTATATATATGCATTACTGGTAAAGCGAATCCAATCAAGTGGATTTTTGATAGTTTCTTTAGAATAACAAGTTAAATTTACTACAATTTCGCGTGTATATCATTACTGTTATCATTATTATTATTTTTATTTTTATGATTAACATTTTAAAACTATATCCATTTATTTCATTATTATCAAGATGTTTAATTAATTAGAAATAGTTCCTCACTCAGTAGTTTATAAATAATATTAATAATAATAATGAAAAAAATGGACAAATATAAAAATCTGTTTTGAGGTGAGGCATTTCTTACAACGACAACAAGGACAACAACAACTACAGAAAATGTATGCAACCGCATTGTTTTATCAAGCGAATATTCATCCATCCTCCACCATCTCTTATCAGGGATATTTATTTAGTTTTTTTTTTATGATACTGGTCTGTGTTTATAACTACTATATTATTTGCCATAATTCTATATGGACATAGTGAAAGGAATTAGTCACGCGATTGATTACAAGTTTCAATTCTATCAACTTTAGTGTTGATTTCGTTGTTGTTGTTGTTGTTGTTATTCTCTCTGTTTATGTAAAAATAAATGTGAAAGAGTGTTTTATCAAGTTGACAATCGAATTAAGAAACAGTCAGTGAGACTGAGAACATTCCCCTCGTCCCCCTCCTATTTTATTTAACGATACACACAGATATATATGTACATATGAATATATATTAGGAGTAAATTGTTTCTCATCTTATTATTGTGCACAGATTTATGTACTTGGCCAAATCGAAAAATAAAAAATAAAATAATTCGAAGGAATAAAAAAAACAAACGAGTGGATATACTTTATATCTATCTCCTCAATCCGTCTTTTATCATAAAATAACATCTTGACATTTTGATTTTAAGTAGTCCATCTGTTTTTTATAAAAATAAATTGAAAAGGAAAGAAAATTATTCAGTTTTCTTTTTGTAATGTTATGTTTATTCCAGAAGGTCAGAATTCTATGTGTATATCAATGTAGTTAGATTATTTACATTAAAAGTCGGTTAATGAATAGTGAGATTTATAAAAACATCTTAAAAGAGTGAGATAGGGCTTGGTGTAAGTACTCATTGATTCCAGTTTTTAAATAACCATTAGAATAGTTCATTATATACTAAAATAAGATCTAATTTATGTTTTCAACTACATTTTAACGACTGTTAAGCATGTTTTATAACAGTAATGTCAAGTCAGTGTTTCTGTATGATTCAGAAACTTGGCATGTCACCAAAACGTATTTTCAACAGGCCAACAGCAACAACAACAACAGACAACAATCAGCATAAATGGAAGAAACCTGAAAGAAACAACCTCTTTCACCAACCGACCTGGGAAGCATCGTTTCAACAACAGGTGGAACTGACGAGGATATCAAAGCGAAGATCGGGAAAGCAAGACAAGCTTTCACTAATCTCATGTCTGTGTGGAGATCAACAGCACTCAGCATCAAAACGAAGATAAGATCCGGATTTTCAACTCCAATGTGAAGTCAGTCAGTGCTAATATACGGATCAGAGACTTGGCGCGTCATAAAGAGCATCTCAAACAAACTACAGACTTTCATTAAAAGTTGTCTTCGCTCAATACTCAAGATCAGATGGCCAGAAAAGATCAGCAACAGAGATCTCTGGCAATGAGCAAACCAACACAGCAGGAACCGATTGTGAAACAAACAGGCAGGAAGAAATGGAGATGGATTGGCCATACTCTGAGGAAACCATCAAGTGACATCACTAGACAAGCCATTGCTCGAGTGGAACCCGAAAGGGAAGCGGCGAGTTGGTCGTCAGTGCAAGGGTGACTTGGAGGTGGTCATGTGAAGAGGAGATGAAAGCGTGTGGGCAGACATGGAGCCAGGTGAAGACTCTAGCAGAGAACCGAACTCAGTGGAGACGCACGGCTGAAGCCCTATGTTCCTGTAGAAATTAAAGGATACAATAACAATAATGATAATTCTAGACATTTATCAACAACTGCCTTGACTCCACACTGAGGATCAGATAGCTAGAAAGTATTAACAACAAGGAACTCTGGCAACGCTTATACCGAAGGAAATGGAGATGGATTGAACACATACTGCGAAGACCATTGAGTGACATCGCGCCGAAGGCCCTCGAGTGGAACAAGAATGGAAAGCGACATCTCAGTCACTGAAGGCATGATGAGGAGATGGAAATTTATGGACAGTCGTGAAGTCAGCTAAAGAGGGCTGCAGAGAATAGCATGCAATAGGGGGGGGGTGTTCTAATGAAGCCCTATATTCTGCAAGTTTTATACTATAATAAATTATTAAGCACTAACATTTCATCACTGCTCTATGTTACACTTTAGATTTTTTAGTGTATTAAGCAGCCCAGCTATACAGAGATGAAGGTAATCATGCGTTCTTATCCTATCCCTTATTTTTGATTACTGAAATTTTTCTAGGATTTTACATTCAAAGCCATAATAAGTTTGAGAAAGAAGCACTGTGTTTCATTGTATATCATAGTCTTCAATGAGAAGCTGGAAAAAAAGACGTCCTATCACCGCTCTTTTAACAGAAACACATGAATTTACTTAATAACTTATCATAAAAAAAGAGAATTACACTTAGTTTCGATACTTCATTCCCTTTTGTCAATCTTTTTTATAGCAAAAAAGAGACGCTATTCCAGTAAGTATGCGCGTCAGTGGTTCACTGGTAGAATGGTTGTCAATAGCACCCATGGTCCAGCTTTAATTCCCTGCCGACGTACTCCAAAGCCTCACTTACCTTGTAATAAACCCACTTACTGACGAAAAGTTGGGTGTGAGCCTACCAACCCCACCCCGTAAAAATAACACCAATGCTACTGAAACTTCAAAGCTCAAGCCTGATACCTTATGTTCTACTCACAACACGAAGGATTGAAAAAATACCACTAAGTACGCTACAAGGTGGGTAATTAATTTCTTCTAAATTTGATTGCGAGGCTTTCTGGGATTATCTTGGATTAACAGACTGCTGTTCATGTAGTGGGTGATAAGTGAAAGTGAACTGAAAAGCTGGATCACATTAAGACTCGACTCAGATGAATCCCCATCACTGGTTCATTGATCACCAGTTGTCAGCAAACGGATACCTTATTCTGTAGAACAACTATGGGTACTAGCTTTGACCGGTTTTCTTATGAGACTCATGATAATGTCCTACAATCATATTAAAGAGAGTTTTCCCTCAGCTACTGTCTCCCATAATGAATACCACTTTTATTGTCAGTACCTATATATCTAGACTATTTATTCACTGAGATGTGATTTACGAAACTAACATACGTCTCTGACTGCAGTACTCACTGGGTGACGCGGGTTTGAATCTCAGAAGAGATATGAGTTCCTTCAAGACTGCAGACATGCCTTGCTGACGAGTGCCAACTAGCACGAAACCTGGGTCCAAGGCTTCCTGCCGATTGCCTCCAACCATCTAATATCATCAAACTAACATACTGTCTGTCTGCGAAAGCCATGATAAAGAAAGTATTATTTCAGTAATTTAAATATCCCTATGGTATAATCAGAACAAGATTTTTGAGCGAACAGTTGTTTTCGATAACTTCATCCCCAGGCTCTACAATTATAAATCCATGGATATTAGAATACAAATAGCCAATACGGACATATGGAAATTATATCAGAAACTGTATCGGGGTACATGTATAAGATGAAATAATAGTCCGTTAGTTCATATTGTCAAATGAATATACATATATTATTTAACAAGAAGCAAGTCAGATCAATATTATCATGTGAAGACAAAAAAAGGAAACATACCTGAGTCTCAGTTAAATTTAAATCATTTGCTAAATCTTTGCGTTCTTGTCCAACAACATAATGATTCTTTTCAAATGCACTTTCTAGCTGGAATAGTTGAGATGGTGAAAAAGCTGTACGTATTCGTTTTGGTTTTCGGTTATCCGATGTAATTAAAACATTTCTGTGTATTGAATCTTTGATAAAATGATCTATATGAAGAGATAAATGGCAAAAGATGAAACGAATATAAGAAAGATACTGTGTATAAAAGTGAAACAAAATACTCTTTCTCTAACTTCACATTGTCTTTCAGGTATATAAATTTGACTGAAAACACTTTCAGTAACTGTGCTGCTAACTGTTAAAGAAAAATAATAAGTAAAAGTCCAGAGAAGACTAATCTCTCAATCGTTTATCTACAGTATTCGGAAATAAAACTCGTTAAAGCTATACAGTATCGATAAAAAGGGTAACTTATTGGATTTCTAGAGTATTTAGTGACATATGCATTTCTATGTGGGGAGTTTTGTGAATGAAGTCTATAATATGGGGAATCAAGTTGGTAGGCAGTTATCATGATGCTTTCTGACCGATATTGGACTACTGGATGTAGTCGACAGTGAATTAACTGAATGCTATTTCATAAATATTTTATTGAATGATCTGAAAAACTTACCTAGAACTATTGATATAAGGATAAAACTTGGGCACTGTGGTAGAGTCTAACTCCTCCCCCTATTTATTTATTTATTTTTAGCTGAAGCTGGCAGAGCTTCAGAAAAAACTCTGATATTTGTTGGACATTTATTCTTTTGTCATTCGAGTCTAGGGAATACATGAATATCTCGTGTTAAAAATACTGTACAGAAACTTGCTGCATGCGACACAGACTGTAAAACAGTTAGGATAATTATAATTATTCGTATCTTTATAATTAGAATATTGTTCATGAGTTCAACACTATTAGACTTTAAGAGGTTGAAATTCTCACACATTTGACAGCTGTGAAAAGTACATTATCATTTCTGATGCCTTCACAATTTATCTGTGTCCCACACGACTGAAGAGGAACCAAACCATGATTTGACACTTGCTTTTCCCTGAGAGAACGACATTTCTGAAGCCTTGAAGTAATGAACATTCTTTAAAAAACATAAATAGATACTATCGAGTGATACATTTATAAAAGTTATATTATCATAATGCTATTATTATTCCATTTGGTTTTAGAGCGGAACATACGGCTTCAAAAGCACATCTTCAATGAATCGGCTGTATGTTGTCCACTTTAGGTGGCTTCATGATTGCCCATAAGCTTTCGCCTCCTTGTCGCATTATCTCTTCCATATCACCCTCGGACGCCGCACTTGTCACACCCCATTCGCGTTCCACTCGAGCGATGGCCTGATACGTGATGTCGGTCAACGGTGTCCTCAGCGTGTGTCCTATCAATCTCCATTTCCTTCAGCAAAATTTGTTGGGCAATAGGTTCTTGGTTGGTTTTCTCCCAGAGTTCCTCGTTGATAATCCTTTCTGGACATCCGATTTTCAATGTAGAGGCATCGAAGGAAGCTGCTAAAGGAAGTTTGTAGCCTGTCGGAAATGTTTATTATGATACCCACACCAACTGACTCAACATTAGTGTTGAAAATCCGGATATTGTTCCTTATACTGAGTGTAGCAGATCTCCACATTGATTTCACATTAATGAACTCCATCTGGTCCTGATTGGATTCATCTGTGCTGCCTGTAGTTGAAAGGATGCTGTCCAGGTTAAGTAAGTGAAAGAAACGAATTCCTTCATATTTCTCCTGTTGATGGTGATTGAGTTTCTTCATCACTTCTGTCTTCTCTACGTTCACTTCAAGTCTTACCTTTGCTGCTTCCCCTACTAACTTGTTAGTTTCCGTCTGTAGATCTTCGAATTTGTATGACAATGGCCGTAAATTACCTGAGAAGTCTAGATCTTCTACAATCCTCTTGTCGGTTCAACGTATACCGGTCTTCTGGCTTCCTACGATCCGCTGGAATATGTATTGTTGTATTGAGTACCTAATGCTGACAGAATTTCATTAGGCAACTTTAAAACTAGACATCTTAAAAAATATGCTCTGTTTAACTTCATACAGTTAGTTCTAGTCAAACCTGTGTTGGATATAGTCTGTGTGACAGATTGTGTTTCTTTTAAACCTTAAAATTGACAACAGCAGCATCATCGCAAATTAGTATTAATTTCACAACTTATCATTTTGTCCTTCAGATTTCAAGTATTATACATTATCATATAAAATAAACTTTAAGTTAACATATAAGTAGTATGCATAGGTTAAATAAAACATTTGATTATCTTATTTTTGTCTCTTATTATTATTATTATAATACCTTGGAATGCATATCTGATGATCTAATTTATTTGCTCTGATTAATTACACTTTTCATAGTTAATATATTATATAATCATTTATTTCTTCTTCTTTTTTGAAAAAAAAAGAAATGATACCTGATAATATTTACTGATAATTAAAACAAATTCTGTATTATTATTTCTAGTGAAATGAATAAAAATGATGGAATTAACATGGCATATGGTTTTGAAAAAAATGTCTTTAAGAGAAACGGAAAAAAATGTCAAAAAGTGCTTGCTCAAATACAAACAAACACGTATATGCTGACTGGTAGAATTAAGTATTATTAATGTTACTGTTACTGGTATTATTATTATGATTATTATTATTAGCTGTAGCAGTAATGGCAGTATTACCTGACCTTTTTGCTAAAAATGAACTTGTACAACATATGTATTTTCAAAGATTTATCTTTGTTGATTATAAGAAAGCATCAAATTTAGCCCTGATAAAAACAATTTCTGTTGAAAGATGAACTTTCATATGATAAATGTTTCTATTTGATAGAAATGAGTGTTAAGTTGAGTCGAGTTGATTAACTCTTCACCCCCTCTGTCCGCGCGAAATTTCCTTGTCTTTATCTCGTTTACCCAAATATAAGCATGCATTCAATATATATACATACATATATTTTTATTTCAACAGAAGTTATCGTTGGAGATTAACATTTTCACTGCCTTCCCTATAACATATAGTTTCTTTTTTTGTCTTTTAGAAGATTAGACAAGCATAAGCGTCTAATATTTATGATATTTCTTAAAAATTACATGCCTACATAAATCCCGAAAAATAGATAAGTACACTAACAAAAAGGCAAAAATGGAAGAAATAAGAAGCATATTTTTTTTCCTTCTTGGTCACTCATGTCGTGGTCTTAATTTGTTCTTCATTACTATATACAATTCGGGGAATTTGTCAGTGTATGTATGTTTGTGTGTTTGTGTGAGGATGACATTAATCTTATTTGTAAGTCAGACAAATATCTGTTTATCTGTTTCATTGGCAATAATAGTAGACGATGAGATGAACCGCCAGAAAGAAGAAGCAGGATAAGTAGAAGCTAAAAGGGGAATATTAAGACCGATCCCATATTAGTTATAATATATATACACATACATATATATGTACGCTTAATATCAGACTGTCATTTGAGATGATTGCGTGCTATGCTGTGGTAGAACAAATTATACTCATTCGTAGATAAAAGTAGAAGAATACTGAGGACGACATTTAAACACGCGTATAAAACAAATGTTTGTATTAGCTTACAATTTAAATAAGGACAGACTTAATTTATATGGTGAATATATATATATATATATATATATATATATATATAGAGAGAGAGAGAGAGGGGAGAATTCAAAGTAATGTCAGATATTTGAAGTTAAACGAGTTAAATGTATTAAAAGTACTTCGGCTCTATGAGGATTAATACATATCTACACATAAATGTTAAAGTGTTGGTTTACAGGATTTCGTCGTTGCCTGAAATAGGTTAGAGAACCACTGGAAGACCTGGGGAGTACTGGAAAGCTGCTTTGTCCTAGTTTGAGACTTATCAGTACGCACCCGCAGGGTTTGAACCCAGGATCTTCCCGTTACAAGCCGAGTTTGTAGACCATTAAGCCAATGGGACCCGATCCAATGGCACATTCATTCCAGCTTCTGTCAATTTGCGATATAGCGCGACCACTAACCAATGTCATCGGCGAGTATCTGTCCTCACACCCAACCTGCTATCCCCCACTGGTCACTACTTCTCACTAGTACCCAGGTTTTCCAATGGTTCTCTAACCGATATCAGCTGGTGATGAATTCCTGTAACATAAATATTATGCATGAACATGCAAGTACCAGCAGTATAATGACAACAGTGACGGTGATTTTCGCTTTATTCAAGACATTTTAAGAAATACTCAACTTAAAGTTAATAAAATTTAAGAGATTAATGAAAAATACTCACTACTGAATTTATATTCTTTAGATAAATATAATTACACCAGTTATGCTCTAGGGCTAATGTCACATAACGAATAAATTAGACTTAAGATTTTAGTGGATTTGATTACTGTTGTGACTACCCCCAGCTTTCTGTGAACTTCAATACATAATATTGGAATTGTTTTTGTCATCAAACGTTAAACCAGTTAATAAGATGCACTTAAGTCCGAGTCCGAATCATTTATTCAAGAATTTAATAACTTGACCACTAAGCTGTTTGGTATGATAACTAAGCTTTATATAAACAGATGGATTATCAAGATTCATCTCTTATCAAACGTATTCATTGGATAGTTGTTTTTACTATTATTTCCTTATCATGTGTAATACTGATGAATTCTTGCGTGGAAGAAACATTTTTACAATCGAGATATATCTGAATAGTTTCTGTCTACAGAAAAACTGTGCTTTACTAACTTATCTTCCAGATTATTTAACTGCTTTAATTCACAAATGTTGTTTACTCTCCTTCTATGTATCTTTCAGTCAGTGGAGGAAAATCAGGAGAAATAATCACCTTTATACTAATTAACCAATGGTGTAAACCATTTTGCTTCTTCTGCATTTGCTTCTACAAATTCTACACAATGTGTGCGACTTAAACGCGGTGAAACCATGACCGGGTTATCAGTTGCATTTCGTTACTGAATAAATAGAGCACAGGACTCATAGTATGATGGCTACTGGATCGAATCTGGCTGCGACTCGTATCTCCATTATTATTATTATTATTATTGTATCCTTTAATTCCTAGAGGAATATAGGGCTTCAGCCGTGCGTCTCCATTGCGTTCGGTTCTC